CCAAGATGTGTAAGGCAAGATGGACATTTATTTTATATTCAATCTTCTGTCTAATCTCAAAATGCCGGTCACTGCCTTCTTTCCGTATTGACTTTGCTGGCATTTAGGCAGATCTTTTCGGTGTGTAGGCCCCACAGAAAAACACCCTCTTCCATCGCTCCACGGGAGAGAGGATGAAGCCAGTAGACGATAGCGTATCGCCGGGCCACACCCGAACTCTTTCCCAGTGGACCATTTGTTGGGAGATGGAGAATAGGAAATATTTAAGTGAAGGACACTTTTCCAGAGCAAAAAGAGATTTCGCCACACTTTCGACGGTGGAAGGCAGCAACGATGTCGACGAGGTTGTCAGCCACAGACCAGCAACCGGAGCGTTGGGAGATCTCCAACCTTGCATACTTCTTAACTCATTTTTGACTGAAGCGTCAGTCGGTAGAACTTGCATGCGAGTGGCGACAGCTCGAGGCATGTAATACTCCCAATTTCCCAGAGTGTGGAGGGCAGAAGGGAAGACTGTAGATACGATTCCCGCAGAAATCGAGGTGGTCGAGGGGCCGAGTGTAAATGCTCGAGTAGGCGACGGAGACACGCGAACGTAAACCAAGTGGGTGAGGCTTAGTTTGTGGCCAAAGGACAAGAAATAGAGACCTGGTCTTGACACTGTCAGAGATTTTGACTAGCAACTTTATCAAACTTAATCATGTAAAATGATTTTAAAATTTTCAGTGAGATACATGTGGTGGCATAGGCTGACCTAATTCTCATTTATTCATTACTCATACTTAAGGCACATACTCACATCGAAAATAAGTAACATCACGTACAAGGATTAAATAATCTGGTCTGGTCTGATCTGCCTGAAATGTCGGCATGAAATGTCCCATCAAAAGCAGGCATGGGGACAAGAGGTGAAGGTGAGGAGTACAAAAGCTGAAGACTAAATACACCTAAAATTGCTCTTTAAGGTTGTTATAGAGATATATAAATTAAATAAATATATATATATATATATATATTCATGCATGCATGCATATATACATATAGATAAAGAGGGAGAGAGAGAATGATAAATTAATAGACTGCAATAGCAACATTAAAGAATCCTTCTAGGTGAATGTGGGCTTTAGTCATCATAGCAGTTTTCACCCTAAAAGAATAATAATTTAATTTTCCCACAATCCAATGAGTATGACATAGCCTTGTTTCATAAAAGGTATTCCATCCTAAGGCCAAGCCTATGTTGGGTGAAAGAATCTTTTGAGAAGCAAAGCCATATGAAATTGAATGGAAACATAAGGCCTATTCATATAATGGTGGAAAAATTCAGCTATCAGCCCTTCATTACCTCAAAGCAAATAGGATGAATACAGCTCTCACATAAAATCTACTGATAATCTCGTAAACCTACTTACAAACAAGGAAGTAACTCATCATCTCTGTCATTCCTCATTTTCAGCTCTTGTTCGCAGGTTCTCTTTTGATAAGTTATGTTTATTTATTTATGTATTTATGTATGTATGTATTTATTTATTTATTTATTTATTTATTTATTTATTTATTTATTTATTTATTTATTTA